TATTTGAGGTTACATCCTTCTGGCATTTTGCATCAGCCATTAGTTGAGTCATGGAAATTGTTGATGTTCTGCAATACCTTACATTACGTTCTTAATTTTCTGAACTTTCGGGAATAGCCTAACGAAAAGTTGGTGCTGCTTGTATAACTTTGAATACCAAGGGTGAAATTGTAAACCACTTGGTCATTAGCATAATCCTGTTAATTGAACTAATGGTTGAGGCAAAATGCAAGATATCAAACCTCATTTCGAACTTAACCTTGTTTTCGGTAAGTACTCCTATGTCTTAACGGTAGTTTTTATATTTTATCATTTATTAATTTTTTACCCTTCCAGATTATAATCAAAGATCCATTTGCAGGCCTACTACGCCTTTTGTGGAAATGCCTTCAAATGACATTGAAGTTACTTTTGTTAAAGAAACGCCTGGTGTCGATTGCCAGACACCTAAACCTGAGTTCATCTTAAAGGATGATTACCCAAGTCCTCAAACAAATCATCCATTTACTTCTTTGCGGCAGCAATTTTCTTTCGGACCCAAATCATGCCAAAACTTAAATGCCAGTCCTAGTTTCATTTGTTCTGCATTTACCACCCCCAAGCAAGAAATCTCACCTAACGCAAACAGCACAACGCCTGAAGCAGACTCATCCTGGAGTGCAAATAATAATGTTTCTAAAAGGAGAAAGTTTGCTGGTTTCTCGTCAATTGGTCCTCTCCATGAATTTCATAGTCCTGTTCCAGTTGATGACAGGTTGAGTCCTTTAGCAAGTTCAGTAACAACTGCAGATGCAAACCATGGTTCAGAAAATAATAAATGTGACATGTGGAATACTTCTGATGGTTCCCATGTGCCGCTTGTTAATACACATGAGAACCTGCAAATATCCTGTTTGCGTTGCAAGAATCCATTGGGCCTTCCTGAAAACAGTTTATTTGTTGTGTGTTCAGCCATCTCTACATCTAAGTGTCATTTGATGTCTCTGCAAAAGAAGGATTCCGAAAATGTAGCTTTAAGTACCCTGAGCATAGATGTTTTGGTCTGTGACATATCATTGGTCGATCATCGTCTTTATGGGACATCTCAAGAAGGTGCCTCTGGACAGGGGGTTTGGTGTGAGGAAGATGGATGCGTGTTCAATACTGTATTCTGTCCGTTCTGTGTTGAATGTGACAATTGTCTTGGGGTACAAGTTCTGGCCACAGATGCATCTAATGTGAAGTTTCAAAACAAGGTGAGAACTCGTGATATGCGGCTACCTATTTCTTGCTTAATGCTGGGACCCAATATCTTACTCAACCTTACATTTTTGTTATGTGAGCAGATATTGTTTTATCGTGATCGCCTAGAGATTAAATATTCCGAAGGAGCAAAAGATGAGGTAATTGGATTCTTTTTTCGTAGTTGTAAGTTTTACATGGTGAAACCAAAATAGTTTGGCTTAAATATGAGTTGCGAAACTATCTTGAATATTGTTTTGAAAGAAATGAGAAATAATGCTTCAAATTATGACTCAGAGATTTTTAAAACTAGTTCTCATATTACATATGGGCATACAGAGATTTGTCTTGGTCTGATTTTATAGGTCTTCACATATTTTACTATAAATGCTCATGCTGTATCTGATTTTAGGCCGCATCTCTGCATGTCGAATCCAGCACAACAAAAAAGGCGGATCTCACTATCTTTGACAAATATGCATATACTTCACCAGTTCAAGAATCAACTGGTTGGAGGAGCACAAAATCACGGGTAAGCAACTATAAATGCTCCTTGTGTAGTGTTATTTCTATCCCAGAGGAGTGAAAATGTTCCTTTTGCCAAAAATCATGCACAGATGCGTCTGCCTAAGAAGAAATAAGCTACGAAGAAAAAAGCAGGCGCGAATGTCACTCACATTTGTTTGCCGTCATGCAAAAATGCTGATATGGGGAATTAGATTGGAAGTGTGCTCCTACAGGTATTGCATATAAAGCTTTTGAGAGATTGCCCGCTGCTGTATATAATTAGAAAGCTGCCGTTCCTTCTCAACATATTTGATTGAACTTGGAAGACATATATCGTATAAAATAGACTTGTTGTGACATTGGTGGCGGGTTCCGATTGCATATGGAAAAACTTTGTTGAAGCTTTGCTAGAGAAAGTTCTTTGGTCCCATATGAATTATTTTCTCTCCGTAAGTGTATTTTTTCATTACCTTTTTTGTTGTGGCATTTTAAGTTAGGACATTTTATTCAAATAATAATAATAATAATAATAATAATAATAATAATAATAATAATAATAAATTAAAACCATCCTTTTAATTCCGAAGTTGTTTGAAATGTGGAGGGGAACAATCAGTTGCATTTGTGTGCATTACAATATGTGAAGCACTCGTCCAATAGTAAAATTATTACAATCCTGTTGACATCAGACTTGAAGTACGCCTTAAAACGAAGGTGATTAATATTATTATACCACATCAAATTTGCCCATGCACTAAACACAAGTCACCTCGGAAAGTGGCACACCTTGGTTAGCGGCGAATGGACCAACCGACTTCCAGGAGAGATTATAGATGGCCGACCTCTTAAAGGTTTCTGAATTCTTCACTTACAAACCGAGGTCCGACGTGACCGAATTCCAAAGCATGTGATTAAGCACATTTTGATTGGACCGAGAACAAAAAACGTAATCATTACTGTCTCCTTAGCCATTGGCAGACCGCTTCAAAAAGGCATATCGTATTTAATGCAATCCTATCTACCTTTTATTAAAAGTCAAAGCATCCGTGACTATAAATAGCAGAATTTGTTATGATAGAAGAGATCGAATTCTCGAAACTCTGATGTACTATCTTGGTTATTATCAAAAACTAACATCCTGTATTGAAAGCAAATACTTTGATAATACAAAATCTCAATTTTCTTTGCTTTAATTACATTGTATCCTGGTTGTTAAATTTGGAATAACAACAGTTTGACGCTAGAAGGAGGGCCCCATAAGATTTTGGAGTTATCTTCGACGTTTTTGTTCAAGAAGCCACATACGCTCTATTTCGTACGTTTAACACATGGGCAAAATCTCAGTTTGGTTGCTTTAATGTTTTATTCCAGAATCCTGACTTTGTTAAAGGTTTCTCTACCTTAATGGCTCAAGCCATGCCTGGAAACTCTCAGGCGAATTCAATACTGCTTACCAAAACTGTTCAACCACAAGTTGAAGCTGCAATATCTCATGCAACTTCACAACCTCATCATGAACTTCCTCAACAACAGAAAGAAGGAGCTGCAGTTCAAACGAATGTTAATCTTCAGGGTGACGTAATTCCACCGGGAATGAACTTGCAAGAACAAACAGCTGAAAGCCATTCGACTCAACAACACGGAAACCCGGTAAATCCTGTACTTGCTCCTTTGTTATCTCAACCTGTAAGACAAACTGATTTACGCCAGCAAATTGAGAAAAACCGCCTCGCGAGGTATGAGTCGGTTGAACTTGAAATGTTAAGGAGGAAGATTGCCAAGTTAGAATCTCGACAGAAGACATGCGAGGATTGTGCACACCGAATTTTCACCTCGGCGCACACCAATGTAGAGGCCGACTCACCCCCAGCGTCCGAACTCACCTCGGAACACTTGCTTGGAAAAATAAAGGTTCCCCAAATCGGTTTATACGATGGGACCTCGGATCCCAATGCTCACCTCGGGCAATACACATCCTGGATGAACTGACACGACGCGTTAGATGCACTGCGATGCCGTATGTTTTCATTAACTCTGGGACCTCGTGCCCAAAATGGTATCATTCCTTACCCCATCGTTCCATCTGGAACTGGCACCAATTGAGGTCAGCATTCCGATCTCACTTTATTGGTGCTCAAGTTTGTCTTGTTCCCAAAGAATCGATCACCAACATAGTACAGAAAGAAGACGAGAGCGTAAAAGACTACATTGCACGGTTCAATGATCGGGTTCAAAATATGGAGTCGTGTCATCCCGAAACGCTTCTTATCACCGCAATTGCTGGCCTTAAACCGAATTCGCTTTTCCAGTGGACCCCCTGCCAGAACAAACCAAGTAATTTCCAAGAGCTTGTGGCTCGAGCGAAACAACATATAATAGCTGAAGAGTCGATGTCGGTTCCGAATTTCAGCATTACTCCTAAGGAAGCGACGTCGGAAGCATACACTAAAAAGAAAATACCAAAAAATTCGTCAATGGGAAGTTTGGGAAGCCTCAATTTGGAGGATCACCGAAAGGAGACCGAAACGACCCAGAAGTGCGGATGGCCAAAAGACAATATGTTGAAGATTTGAAGTCGGGGTATCAAATCATCTATTCGGCTGGAGCAACCACTATTTTCAAAGAATTAGAAGAGAAAGGGATCATTCCTGATCCCCGACCAATTAAGACCCTTGAAGATCAATTGGATCAATCAAAATATTGTGCCTATCACAAGTCTCCGAGGCATAATACCGATGAGTGCTTAAGTCTACGGTCAGTTTTGTTAAGACTAATCAGAAATCCACAAGTAAGAAGATTTGCTAGAAATCCCGACTTCAAGCGTAAAGGAAGACCAATCGACGTTCCTGACGACAATGAAGATGATGGAGAAGTAAACCTAAAAATAATTCGACATGACGACAAAGAAGTCTTCTCTTTTACCTCGGAAGACCCCAAAGATGAACCCATCAAAAGGATCCGTTTGGATTCGTCTACTTCTACTTACGATGATTATATTCCCCGAGTTAACACCAACGATGGGAGACCGACGTTATCGCGTCGTTGGGCAAAAGCATACGCCCGAGAAGCACAAAACTCGAGAAAGCGTGTCATAACAACCGACTTACGAGATACTATAAATTCTCGTAACTGTCCAATCACATTTACAACAAAAGACGCAAGTCTGTTTGCGCATCCTCATTCCGATGCTCCGATAATCACAACCCCGATCGGTGATATTCCACTTCATCGAATCTGGTGGATACTAGGGCCTATTCGAGTATTTTAATGTATCGAGCATTTGAGAAGATGGGAATAGACCCATCGGAAATCAAGCCTTGTGATGATCAAATCTAAGGGTTTAATGGAAGTATTGTAAGAATATGTGGCCCGAAACCATTGGGCTCACATTTAATTATCCTATTGGGCCAGACCTTTATTTAATAGTCAAAAAAATCTAAGCTATTAATTTGGATATTTGATGGACGTACCAGATCTAAAGCCACCCATATATAAATTAGTCCTCTCTTCTCCTATTAGGGTACGCAGTATTTTCCCATCAGTTTTTCTGCTACGTAAGAGAAGGTTAGGAGTGAGAAACTAATTTAGATCTAACAATCGATCAAACCTTGTGTGATCATCAAGATCAAGATAATTAATATGTCGTCTTCTGCATCAAGTAAGTATTTCGTATACACCAAATTATTTATTCAAGATCCATGATGAAGCTTACATGTGGTATCAGAGCATGTGTTGTGAATAAATAATTTGTTGCAATTTATGATTATTCGGTATCAATGTTTGTCGTCGAAATTTGTTGTTGGAATTAGATTCAACAATTCTACAGATTTTAACCATGACAAAATATTTATTTGAACTGGGTGTTCATGGTTGAATTATAATGATGGGGTATGGAAATATTTTTAATTTACCCATAAAGTTTCGATTAGGTGATTTTACCTGGACCATGAATCACGCAATTTTGGTTATGTTAGTATGGTTTAATGGCACATATAATTATGATTTATGTTTATGAATGATGGAGGATTTTGATTGGATGGAAGAGATGGATGTTCACGCATATGAATTGATATATATGCATATATTCGAATCCTGTATTGATCACATGATGCATATACATTTTTATGGCCCAAACATATTTATGGTTGAGCATTGTTTAATTCTTTCGATTATGTTGATTATCTCATCTTACTGCAATTATGGTGAAAGAATTTATATGTTTTGGTTGATGATGATTGAATTGACAAACTCCCATTATGTTTATGAATTATAAGGGTTAGTTTGTTAACATTATGATTATTTGTTATTATATGACATTAAGATAAAATTAATTTGTTAGTCACCAAAGTGGCCTAATTAATTTTAATATTCAATCATATAATTTTTTATCATGATAATGCTTTGTTATATGACATTAACGAAAAATTAATTAGTTAGTCACCAAAGTGGCCTAATTAATTTTTAATGTTCGGTCATATAATTTATCGTTATAACCGCTTATTATATAACATTAAGAGAAAATTATTTTGTTAGTCACCAAAATGACCTAATTAATTTTTAATATCTAGTCATATAATATTATTGTTACAACTGCTTATTATATGGCATTAAGAGAAAATTAATTTGTTAGGCACCAAAGCGGCCGAATTAATTTTTTAATGTTGGGCCATATGATTTATGTTTTCTTGAGAATGTCATTATTCAAGATAATGAGTTTATGGTTGTTAGAAATTATGAATTTACCCAAGGTGAATCAATATTTTATAACTAATAAACATTAAGGAGAAATATAATATCCTTTTGCGAACGTATGTAGATATCCAAAGATACTATGTATGTTAGAAGAATTTTATTTCTCATTAAGTGTCAAATGACATTCGACTTATGATAATGATATATATTGTTGTGTTTACCCAAAGGAGACCTGCAATATATGTGATGAATGTATTTTTTGAATCTATTAATTAAGTGAGCATTTATGATTGTGCAATTGTCTCTCTTCATTCACAAGATTTTTCTGTTACTGTCTTTAATGATTTTAATTTCTCTGAATGGCTTGAGCAAGTCAATTTCCATTTATGTGTTTTTGGATATTGACATGACACTGCTTGAAGCTAAGCCCGCTGATATTAAT